AACTTGTGTTTTCAAATAGCGAATACGTAATGCATCAAAACCTCCTGCCTGTGCGTACATCACGAGTAACGGTACGCGACGTGTGAAAGCACGGCGATCCGGAGCGGTGCTGTAGCCCAGCTCTGCCTCCAGGTGACTCCCCGGTTCCATGGATGGAGCTTTCTTCCCTTCCTGCCACAGCATCACGGGAAGGCAAAGTGATTTTTTTTTTTTCCCCAGCATGGTGCAGTTTATCTGCCTCCGTGATTTAGGATGAACAGAAAAAAAACATCTCCCAAATCCTTTGCACGTCACTCGGAAGCGTGAACCTTTCTTTACAGCTTTCTAAAACTAAAAATCTTGATGCGGGGTAAAACTGGGAAAAAGTTACTTGCTGAACATCACGGTGTTTTGGTAGGTGTATAGGTGGGCATTGGCCATCTCGATTTCAGGAGATGAAATTATAACACCGCGGCCCTCGTGAGGCACTGAGAAAAGCAGAAGGCAGTCTGTAGGTATAAACCAGAAAAATCTAGGCTGAGATTAATTACAAAATAAAGTTAGAGTTCTCCATTCCTCAGCAGTTTTGGAGTTTCGATTCAGTTATAAAGAGTTTCTCTTCCTTTTTGCAAGGAGAACCCTGCACTTGTGTCATTTAGCTGTCCTGCTTTAATGTGTTTCTTAGGAACAGTAACTAGTTTATACTGCATTCCGTGTTTAAAATTTTTCTTCCTTTACAGATAAAACCTTGTTCAGAGCTATCATTTCCTGTGAAGATCTACTTCTGTGTCACTATTTTGTCTCTGCTAAGTGTAATAGGGCTGACCATAGAGACACTTGTCCGACAAACTGAGGAAGATTTCACCATTTCTCTTATTCAGTTAATTGGAGTTGGTAAGAAACATACTGTTTGTATTTTAAAACAAAAACATTTTTTTCCAAGGTAGTAATTAAGCAGCAACTGAAGTTTCTTATTTCACTCTGTTTGGCCTGATACAGTACACACAGAATACTCTGCTAGTTTAGCGCTAACAAGCTAGATGCTTTTGCCGTTGTTGCTTTCCTTTAGGATGTCATTCAAAATAAATTCACGTGTGAATAGTGTGAAAAACATTCAGGTTTTAGGAAGTGTTGCTATAATTGCCTTTCTTACTAGTGTTTCATTACACAAATGTGGCAATGAGTTTGCTTTCAGACAGCTGACACTTTATGTAAGATATACTGAATGTTCAGCTATGCCAGAAAGAGCTTACCATTTCCCATTTTAATGTCTGTGCGTAATGTGCTGGGGAGTTCAGAGGTGTCCACACTCCAGGCTTGTCACAGAACATACATCTCCTGACATGAGCCACACTTATACCTGAGCTGTAGTTGGTTTCAAGGCACCTTCTTACATGGCAAGAAACCAAACATACACAGTTTGATCTGAAACAGGAAAATGTTGTCATCTCCCTGTATTAAGTTCCTGCAAACATGTTGCTTCACCTGAAGTATTTTAATAAAATAAAATAAGGACCTAATTTTTTTTTAAAGCGCTCTGTTTTCTCTAACAGGTTTTGTCCTACTGGAAGCAAAATCCAAACTTCCTTGGATATTTCCAATTAGAGCTTCAATAGAAACTTAGGTTCATATTCTTGGGTCCATTTGTATTAGAAATAGAAATGAAACTTAACATGAAAATAAATACTACTATTTTAGGAAGTCCTCTCCAGTGGCTTTAGCAGGCCTTGGCTGTTGGCTCGCTGACCAAAACAGCATTAGAAAAGAATAGGGTTTCTGTGGGTGTAACACCTTGTGTACGAGAAAGACACGCTAATCATAAGCAGTCGTTGCTTTCCAGCTTTCATCCAGAGGGAACAAAGACAATAGATTTGTTCCAGATTCTATAATTAGACACATAGAAACAATAGTTTTATTCCAAAACTCTGGTTTGATTGGCAGCTTTTCACACAGGACTCAGCCTACTAACAAAAATTGCAATGTTAGACCAGACCATTGGTGCCTCCAATCTGTCACACTGTTTTTGTTAGCAACCACTGTTTTGTGCTTCAGAGAAAAATGAAGAACCTTCATAATAAACCAAATGAATCACATGATGTTATAAATGGGGAAGTTGAAAGCGTGCTCGTTAATCTATTCCCCATCTTCTGTTGATACTAATTAGTATTCTATGCTGCAACAACACACATGGGAAGAAGTGCACGCCTCTCACAAACCTCTGGTTTAAATCAGGAAAACTAGTGTATTTATAACACATTAGTTCAGATTTCAAAGTTTTAATAGAAACAAAAGTAGTTGTTTCAACATATTAGTCAGTAAAGATAACATAATTCAAGGAATATGTTAAAACTATGGCTTACCTTGATACTTCAAGATGTGTAAGCTAACCTCCACAACATGCCAAAACCACATGTTTTCTCTAGGACAGACAAAGACTGACAGAACTGATAATAGTTCTTTAAAGAAAAATAGATGCTCTGGCTGTAACAATCATTTAGCTTTACCACTAGAGATACTTACTTTAAAGAGGGTTTGGGATTTAATTTGTTGAAAAACATTCACTTATCAAAACCAAGGGGAAGTCCTTTATTTCAAATGTGCATAACCATCTCTGCAAAAATCTGGACACTCAGAAAACAGTTTGCTTTCAAATTATTTGTACAGACTACTTCTGATTTAGCACCTGAATCTGCAAAACAAGGAAATACTGTCTTAAATCTTTCAGGTTTTCATGAGGTCATAAGCATAGAACAAAATCACATGATTCACTTTGTAGTTTGACAATCATTTTCAGTTTTCTCAATCACTGTTAATAAAAGTGAAAAAGGAAGTTCATTCACCAGAAGGTTTGTTTACGGAAACTGAAGTTATTATGTTACTTTGAAAACTTTTATGACACTTTATCCCCATGTCCATAGCAAAACTAGATTATTTGATGTGCGGAATCCAGGAAGCAGCCCTCTGGAAAAAGAAATCTATTGTTCCTTTGTCTGTGGTAAGAATTAACTAGTGTTTGCAGGAGCATCCTATGCAAGATCAAAGCACTGATTCCTGTTTTTATGAAAGGAAAGTCTTTTCCTTATTTAAGCTTTGTGAAAACAGGTGTGTAGAGTTCAACAGTGACAGCTAACTGTGGTGTTAAGAGTGGTGGGTTTTGATTTATTTTATAAAAACATAACTCAGAACTTTCCCAAATCAGCTTTTTTTCTGGACTACAGTTTACAGGGTAGGGTGTTTCAGACTTTCCACAACAAAAACAGTTAGGAATCCAGTCTGCCAAAGTTCAGTGCAACCCGTGAGCCGTTTGTAGTGGTCAGAACCACAAAAACAATAGTGTAGAAGTATGTGTATGAGTAGTAAATTCCTTGTTAGTCACCTGAATCACTCTCACTGGGAAGATTATGTAATTTCAGTTCTTTAATTAAAATGGTGTTGCTTCATTCAAATATACTATTCAACATAATATTCAAGGTAGTATTAATAGAATAACATACCACAGTTGCCACTTAGTTTGGATAGCTAATATGTTGCCATTTTCAAAGAGTTGCTTCACAAGTAATTCAAAAATCTAACAAATTATTTCAGTTCTTGTATGCTCACCACAGGGAGAGTACTCATTTTAAGTATCTGATTCAGGCTCCTTGGCAAGAATAAAGATACGCTCTTGACTGAGGAGCCTGTTACACGGTCTCCATACTTCCGTTTTGTCATCTGGATCAAGTGTATTGGAAAACTGCACCGTGTGCAACGTGTTCACCTGGTAACTGACCTTTCCTTCTCCTCCTCAGTGTTCTGTGTGTACTATGTGACTAGAGGAATCCTGCAGGAGAATCGCCAGGAGCTCATCGTCTTTGTTCTTTCCATCTTGCTAGTGATGTTTCGTTCTGTTGTCAACTTCACAGTTCTCTCTGCTGAGCAAAAGCCGAAACTCCTGGTTAGTCACCTGGCTTTTAATTAACTTTGGTTTTCTCCACATCTTGGATTTGAAAATCTTAGAAAGGCAGGATATCTGTGATAAGGGCACTGGTAACAGAGAAAAATTAGGCTGAATTATTCCTACCACTGAATAACAAAGTGTGCACCCCCATAATTGCAAAGCCGTTTCTCTGAGCTATTCTATGGGTTTCTTTATGGCAGTATATGAAAGTAACATAAATATCAAAGAATTTTACTCACACAGGATTCCCACAGAAGATATCCTTCACTTCACCTACTCTGCTTCAGATTTCTGTCCATAAAACAACTAGTGTAAAGTCACATAAATCTAACCTACTACCAGAACTGGAATCTCAAATCTATATGCCAGGACCTAGCCATTAGCCCCACTGCTCCACAAACGCAGCAAGAGAGTTACGGTAACCTGCTGCAAGGAAACAAAAAGATAAAAGGTGCAAGGCGAGGTACTGCCATTCCAGATTATCTTGTTTGCATTTCGTAACAATAAAATGCAATAGAAATACTGTATTCTATGCGTTACTGAGATTTGTAATTAAACTTCCGCTTGCCGTGCTTCTCAGAAGTCTTTCCCACATTTATCACAAATGCAGGAAGGAGGTTCTTTGCTGTGAAGACAGCCAAAAATTATTCTTTGATAGAAGAGATGGCAACTAAGCTAGGAAGATGCAGCAAAGCAGAGTTTGCCTATTCGATTTACGTATCAATTGTACATTTATTTATACTTATCTACAGCAAACTCAGTTGTTAGAGTCAATAAGGAACAGGCATCAGAGATGCAAATTACATTAAGGTGTACATCACAGTCATCATTTTATATATTAAATGACAACCTCAAAGTAAAGCCTGGTGTGGAAGGTGTACTATTAAGGACTTTTTTTTTTGCTACTGTAAAAATAACATGGATTACTGTAACTCCTGCTTCCTGAGAATAAGGCATACTAGTATAAATATTCTCATATCAGTATAATTATGAAGAATATTTTGCCGCTTCAGCCATCTTTAAAGGAGTAGACATTTAGTGTGAATGCCAGCAAAGTTGTAGATACAACCCAGACAAAACCAATGTTTTTTGAAATGTAAGAAGTACAGTGTTCAGAATAGCCCACCATCCCCACTGATTTCAGGATTCTTACCAGCTGGCTTATGCCATACAGGAAGCTTAGAGCCAGGCTCTGTCAAAGCAAGCTGTTTCTTTAAACTGTGTTGTAAAGTCTCAAACAAAACCTTGCTAAAAGCTGTTGCGATATTACAGGGAGTGCAAAGGCTATGTTTCTTTTAACAGCTGTAGCACTACTACAATGAGGGTAATGTAAACCAAAGTAGCCAATTTGAGTTTACAGCTATTACCAAGTGGTTGCAACAAATGACCCAAATTATGGCCTGACTGTTTGCACTTAACTGTGGCAAGCTGTCATCTTTAATTGTCTATTTGAAATGCTATTACTAGGCAGCCTGGTTCTCCTTACTCCTTTATCCTTTTCTTTCCAGTTAGAAGATTTAAGGTTAAAGACTGTCCCTGTTTTGGCATGTCCAGTCACATCCTTCTTTCTCTTTCCTATCAGGCCCGCTTCATTCTGATCCTCCTGGTTGGCTCCTTTGATGTGATCTGTGCCATCGTCCTCATTCAGAGTCAAAGCATGATGGCCTTTCGAGTGGGTGGTGCTCTAGAAAGCCTGCAGTCACAATACTTCATGCTCAACCTCTGTTTTTCCATGTTGACCTTTGATCTTCAGGCACAGGTATAGAACTGTCTCCCCCAGGTTTGCTTTTTTCATGAATCAACATATATTTTATCATTGTCCTGTCCAAAAGGAAAACCGATTCTTATTTTTGGGAGGTATGTCCATAAAAACAATTGCATCCAGAAGCTCCAAGCCAGCATGGCCTCCTAAAATAAGAAAGATTATCACTGCACAACACCTCAGCCTGCAGTCTCGTCCTTTCCAGCCATCCTAGCTGTCTCCTGCATTTGAGAAAATGACACTGGGATGGGAGAGGAGAGTGTGGCCTAGCAGGGCAATTAGGGTGAGAGAGCAGCCTGAAGTTACATATAAGTGAACCCAAGATCTGTTTAGAAAGAGTTTACACTTCTGTACACTACCCTTCATTTGTACTTTACTACTGTATTACCCTGTATTACCTTATGCGTTATCTCGAGTGCATCTTACTGCCTGCCTTTGTTGTTGCTAATAGACGTACAGGGAAGTACGTCTGTCCTTGTGTCCTGTTTCGTACCACCTGCCAGCTTTTGAGGAAACATTTTAAGCCTTTAGGCCTGTGCCCAACTTACTGTTGCTGGGAGTTTGTGTCAAATATTTTTTGGTGGGCTGTATGGATGGTCTCAAACTAATAATTTTACCAGTCTTTGCCTCTTCTCTTTCAGCTCTGCTTGTGTGTTCTGCTGATAAGCCTGCATGAGATCACCCTTCTACATAACATCATCTCAGCAACAGGGGTTCTTTGGGCCTGCCTGAAGGTGACCATCAGCATCATTGCAGTAAGTGTTACAGCAACACTAGCAAGGACAGTCAATTTCTGAGAGTCACCCTCAGCAGGTATCACAGACTGGGAAGTCACAGCCATCCCATTCTACGGAATAGTGCTAAGTGGAAGGGAGCCCGAATGGATCCCAGCAGAAAACAAGAGCAAAAACAATAATGAAGTCAGGTTTCTTATAAATCTGTCTCTTTCACTTGAGCATACAGGATAAAACAATGTCACACCATCATTATTCCTTTCTGAGGGACAATGTTTTATTCTCAGTCCTCAATCACCTACTTTAATGAAACCTGTAGGTCTGCCTCTGATGAGCTTAGGTGAAACTGGCAGCTGTCCTCCAAATTTTTATGAAGATGGATATACAGACGCAGTGAGACTGCATAGGCCTTATATCCTTAGGAAACTACACCAGAAAGATGAGCGATCCTTTACCAGGGCAGCTTCTTTAAAGGTGAGTGACAGTTGTCAGGTAAACGTAAGGATTTGTGAACTTGAAATCTAGTTTTTCACGTCAGTCAGACTGAACTTGCTCTGAAATCTTGAGAGCTCAGAAACATTGCAGAATCAGGGCCAAAGTACATCAGATAAGTGAGTCTTTTATTACCAGGAAGAAGTTTAGGGGCTTTTGGGTTTGTTGTTTTTTTAGGCTCCTTGGGTGTTTGCTTTAGCCATTCAGACAAATTCCTGACAGCTGAAATACAGCTTTCCAAGCATTGTGATTCCTTGCTAAACACGGAGCTAGCACCAAGCGCTGTGCTTTTAAAATACTTCAGTAACTCCAGGTGAATAGTTGCACAGAATCATAGCGTCATGACCACTAACAGCTATCCAGCAGGGAAAAATGGAGACAGGACTAACTGTGAGTGTGACACTTAGGGAACAGGGGTAGTACAGCTTGGTTTCCTCCTAGGAGTTCCTTACATACCTTTGGGTGGTGCTGGATCTTTACTTTCAGTTAAATTGTATCAGGTGTGGAAAGGCAGGGAGCAATCAGAACCATGTCTGTTTTCCTACTGGGATTAAAAGCATAAACCTTTCAGCTACGTTTCCCCCACCATCAGTAACAGTTGATCTGACCACTTGTGATTCACAGAATAGGAGTTCTCTGCTTCTTCTTGATTTGCCTTTAGGCATTAAAAGAGGTGCTGTTTCTTTTAAGAAAAGAAAGAGGTGCTTCAGTTAGATGGTCTCAGGTCTTAACCTACACGATATTCCTTATGCCTTCATCAATAGCAAACGTGTTTCTTAATAGTTCAACTAGTAACAGTAAATGTCCTAGGGATAAGTACATATTCTTGCCCTTTGCTCAGGACTGTCTGTGTTAGAACTACATGAAAGCTACTTTTTACCCAGTCTAGGTACATCACTGACTTATCTACTGGAAGAAGTTAACAGCTTCTTGTCTAACTAAGAAATAGCAAATGTAAAATTAATGGAAAAAATTAGTGCTGTATTTCAGTAATGGACAGCAACCAGAGAAGGTGGATACATTTCATGAGAGGCTGGTAGCTTTGTATCCAAGGTAAAAATGTTTCCATCTTAGACTAGAGCATGTTGACAGAGAGGTGACAATAGGAACTCCTTTTCCTTACCCTGTTCAGACAAGTTTTTCACAATCAGCTTCTGCAGATCATGCAGCAGTAGAGAAACCTGTATCACTGTGTTCTTTGGTGCTCTCAGAAACTGCACCTGCTATGGGGTTGTTAAGTAAGAAAGGTATGGAGACATAGATAATCCACCAGAAAGTATAAGAATAGAAGGGAAAACTTGGAAACGCCTCATACACAGTCCTTTATGGTAACTGCAGTACCTGAAAGCACAGCTAAACCTCATGCTCCCTTACTTCCGGGTTGATACACATGCCACTTCACAAGGGGATTATTAATCATTTTTCTTCTATTTATATACACAGTCTCTCATTTACTTTAGTGTATTTATTTTTCCCACCTCCATTATTTATTTTATCTCTTTTCTCCCGTTAATTACTAATTCTCTCTTCCTCCCCCACCCCCTTGTTTCTCAGCCTTTGTTTGCCTTTCCCTTTCGATCTTATCCTAAGAGGAGCACTATACAGTACCACAGAAAATGGGGACAATAGTGGAGGTGGCAGAGAACAGACAAACTCCCTGGGGGAGGGACAATTCCCTTAATGCTTTTGTAGAGGTTCATATATTGACCATTGCAGAAGGATCAGTATTGGTTTGGGGAGGAATCTGTGGTTGATTAGATGCATCAAATCTCTTCATAGCATTGGCACAGTCGCTGCTTTCATTCCCAGTGACTCGGCTGTTTTTCTTTTGTTTGCTCATACCTGCCCTTCCAGTTCAGGACTGCTGAAAGTTGCTACCTGCTGGAAAGCAATCCGTCATTTCTTCTTTCCCAAGTCCCAAGGTTAATTGTGAAATAAAGCTTTTCTGACAGTTAAATCCTCTTGCTTCTCCCACGTTTTGAGTTTGCAGTGACTTGACTTCTCTGTAGTAGAAACAAAAGCGGAGAAAACTCACAGAGCTCTTTCAGTCTGTTAGCTATGAAAACATTAATTTGTTAGAGAAAAATCTGAGCGTGCCCAAAGAAAAAGTAAATCAGCTTAGATACAACTCAGAAGAATCAGCTGCTTCTCCATTTGAGCTAGCTGGAGTTGTGTACTGTAAGAATTAGAAGGCAGAGCTCATGGGGATGCCAAGATGGCTCAAATCACACACAGCTGTCAGGATGTGCCCATGAAACCACCAGTTCTGATTTCACCATCATCACTCCTGGCCCAGTTCAGTGGAAGACAGAGACCTCATTTCCTGCTAAAAAAACATAGGTAGAGAAGGCAAGTGGAGAGCAAAGCTACAACTGAGAACTCAGCTAGACCAACACTTGAAATGCTATTGAAAAATCAACTATGTATAGCCTTTATAGAGTATATAGCAACGAGTTACAAAGCTGTATATATCTCATCTTATTTTACAGATTTTAAAAGAACTGAAACCTCTAGTGTGGATTTTTCTGAGTCAGAATGTTCCTGAAGTAGTTTATCTCATCTACCTACTTTACACGGTAATTTATCAAACTTACTTGCTCAATAACGGGGAGGAAGGCTTGACAGCCTCCTCTTCATTACTGGATCCTTGGGCCCCAAACACGATGCCTCATTCCTGAGCGTACCCCTTCGTTGCAGCTCCTGTGAGAATCAGTGAGAGCACCAGGCAGGTCCTACCTCTTCAGGATCAACTTTTCAGATGGGAACCATGTCAAACTGCTGTTGAACTGATTAGTTAGAGGGAGAGGCCCTGGAAGTCTCTGCAACTGGCAAAGTGTCCAGAATGATTAGGGAA